TAATGTAATTTAATGTAATTTAATGTAATTTAATGTATGTTTAATGCTTCTTTGTCGTTAATTAAACTAATTTGTCGCTATAATATTTTGTTCCGATTTGTTTTAAATATTCCAATCGATTTATAGATTTGTTACATAATTGTCTGAAACATTTTTCTAAAAAATTTAATTTATTTATGGTGTCTTTTCGTTGAACATTATTAATACTTTTCTTTATTGAGTTTAATTTTAAATCTGATTCTGATTGAATTTGTAATATTGTGTCTATAACTAGGTAAATATTTGGATGTGGCGAGTAAAATTGACTATTGTAATGACGATGAAAACTTTCTACGCCATTTGTTGTCCTTGGATTATTATTACTTGGTGCACTTGCCCACATAACTGGAGGGAAATCTGAGTCAATCAAAATATAATTTTCTAGAATATAATCTGTGAATTGCGTAAACATAGTCGTAGGTGCAATTGATAGCAAGTCCGTAAAGCCGTCCGAGATTTCATCTGGTGGTAAATAACTTAAACCGAAAAAACACTTAAGCCATGCACCGATTTCTGATGAATTGTTTAAATATTCGTTTAATAGTGGTTTATTTTGTTGGATATGTCGATACCAACTTTGCCCGAGATGGAAATTACAACAAATTAATTTACAATTTGGAAACTTTTGTAATACAGCATTATGAGCGGCTTTTTCGAAATCAGCATGGAAAATATTTATTTGAAGTTGCTTGTTAGTCAGTTGCACACATAATTTTCCTAACATTTCCCATAACATCAAATAAGTCGAAGTCTGTTTGTTGCGTAAAAAACAATAAACAAGAGGAATATAATAGTTATTTTTGTAAATATGTAATGTATACAGTTGCATAAAAAATTTTGGAGCATAAGTAAACGTTCCATCTCCAAAAACATGTTCCGCGTTTGAAATTGCCTCTAAATTAATTTTGCACGTAAATATAATTATATTTTTGTCATCACTAATAAAACAAAATTGTTCACCCTTGTATTGAATTTTATTTTGCATTTCATTTAACTGTTCTATAGCAATTTCAGTCGATGTCGGTAAATTAGGAAAATGCTTTCTTCTTATGTCATATATAGAACGCCTAAACAACTTCATATCCGTATGAGTTAAATTTAACGAAATATCCTCCATATTTTGTAAATCACGACGTATCAATTTACTTGGAAGTATATGTAAGTCATCATTTGCTTTACGTTTTAAAGAGCTTCTAATAATTTCTCTAGAAATTACCTGGTCAGTGTGTGCTTCGTGATTGTGTTCGTTTGAAGTATTAATTACCCTGGTAATCGATTCATTCACTGTAACTCTTGATGTACATTTTTTATTGGTACATCTAAACAACAGATCACCCGATTTTAAAATACGAAATTCACTATACTTATAGTTTTCAATGTTAAAACAACGTTTTCCTCTGCGCGTTTCAAAAACATTTAATATTTGAATGTCCATGGTAATACACGAAATAAAATAACTGGTATCTTGATAGCATCACACGTTCGACTAAACAATAAACCTATAGTAACATACAGCGGTCATCGCAATAACGCACCCATTTATCTAAAATCACATTATCGTTTAGAACCAACTATGATAGTTAATCAATTACGTGCATCTTATCTTGTCTAATTTAATAGTTGTACGCAAACGAGTCGTCATTTTTCAGGTCAAAATTAGTATTAACCGGGTTTTCATGTTTTTCGATGTACGCAAACGAGTTGTCAGTTTACAGGTAAAAAATTGTGTACTGTGCGCAAACGAGTATCACCGAAATGAATGATATTCGTCGCCGCCGTTATCAAATAATTATAATAATATTAAAAATAATTAAATTGTTGTTTTTTTCTCAAATCGTGGAATATAAAAATATAGTAACAATAAATAATAGAATTGTATTGTTTCTTTCAATTAATAAAAATAAGTAGTAAAATTTAGCCTAAAACAAAAAATAAACAAAAATATTAAAATATTAAAAAAATGAAAATAAAAATTAGTGATTAATCATATTCCAAAAATAGATGCAATAGTTAGCATTATTTGTGTTATTTGTATTTCAATCACATCATTTATTGAACTACAAATCAAACATAAAATATATATTAATTATTAACAGTACATTTTAAAGGGATGTCACCTATCCGAAAGTTGTAAGTTCGAAAATTCGTGTTTGAAATAGTTCATGTCTTTGAGATGTTTTACTTTTATAAAAAAAATTACTATAATTATTGAATGGTACTAAAAATTAAAAAGACAACCAACCTATTGTTGAAA